GTCGTCGGTTTGTTTCGGAAGAACAACTGTTTGGAACAATTTTTTCTGCTTTGTCACAACAGCCAATTATCATAGATCACTTTGGGGTTAACATGGGAAACTGGTTCCCATTACAAACAAGCTGATAGCTGATTGATTGAAAACGAACAATTTGCAATTTTTTTAGAAAGGAAGGAAAAAGTCGCATGTCTTTCTTTCAATAGTAAACCAGGCAGAAAAATTGTCCGAAACAAGTTGTTCATGTGAAACAAATGCTGTGTGATAAGGGTCTCAGACATCATTACTTACATCTAACATTTCACTTCCAGAAACAAGGGTCAAAATTTTTCAGCTGCCATTCACTGTGCCAATGCCTGAAATTAAAAAAAAAAATCATTTTATAAAAATCTTTAAAAGGATGATTCAAGTATTGAAAAATCTTAGATCATAACTTGGTCATACACACAAAATATATTATTTTTTATACCAATAAAATAATATGTTGTTCAGTGCTGAATGAATTATTTAACAATAGGAGAGGGTCAATGGTTGTGAAATCACATCATAATAATAAGAGAATTTATAAAAAATGAAATAAGGGGTTTTATTTTATTTATTTAAATTTTACTATTAGTTAAGAATAATTATCCTACTAACTTTAATTCATATATTCAATCTCTGAAACACACTTTCTACAACTTATCTTTGGCTACTATAGTAGTGTGTAGTCAGCTTGGCAGATACAGTCAGCAAATGATGATTGACAGTCATAATTGTTATCTTTTCCTTCCTGGTATACTTCTTACATGTACATGTCCTGAAGTACACGTACATGTTTTCCTACAACTTTGCATGATGCATACATACTTTTTCACTGCAGAAATATACAATTTTATGAAGAACTAATTTGCAATAATATATAGCATACATGAAAACAATCCAAGCATACTTTATATTAAAGTGCAATGTTATGTAATCATTGATGAAAATTACATACATCAAAATATACTTTATTGTTGACTTTACTATTACTTTAGGATTATTAAAAAATCATCATCAATTCCTACATGCTGTACAATCATCTGCCTTTTAAAAATAGAACTTGTTACATTTAATATTTCAACAGGTTTTTCTATTCAATAGATATTTGATAATATAAGGAGTTAAGTAAATTTGAACTAATTATATTTTATTTTTACCAATTCTTTACAGTTATACCACAATTCATTACATTATTTTATATCATATTAACTTCAACCAAAACATTTCAGCACATTTTGAGATAAAAGACTCAAGTACCTTGCATCAGTTTTAGCTGTAATAAAATTATGTACATACTAATAACTTTCTTCTTGAAGTTTCTCGAAAATGATGTTTCTTTTCGAAAAAATTAAAACAGTAAGGAAACAAATTATTTCTTAAAACATCTTTCTTAATGCTACATTATATAGAAATTTAGGAAATGTTAAAAAATGTTAATGAACTGTATATGTGTTAAAATACAATATATCACATATTGCACATATAACATATCAAATTTACTGAAATGGGAAAATATATACATACCTGAAAGCAATCTTGCAATAGCATTTGGTTTGAAAGCTCGAGCTATCCACTGGAGCATCGGCATTTACGCTTACTTCCTTTACCCATTTTTTTGCACTCTTCAATCGAATTTAAACTTGATCGTATCGTTCAACTTTCCAGTTGTTGGAGCAGTACAGGAAAAAAAATCTAATTTTACACAGTAATTACTTTACATTGCACATATACTCTACGAAGACTTAAACGCCGGATTTGTTTACAATCAGATGGCGGTACATCTACCACATACCGTATTTATCCTCTTTTCAAATCGCGCCAACATAATAATTACGCCAAATTTGTTTCTGGGCATGCGCAGTATGCGACATTCGTTTAACACTGTTCAACTCAATGTGCGGTCTGCCATTACGCCTCCCGGATCGCAGAAAATTCTGTTTGGGAAAGAGATTTAGTGGTATAAACTTGTACCACCAAATCTCTTAAGGAGTCTTTTAAGGGATTTGGTGGTACGTTGAGAAGATTATCTTCTTAATCTCTTAAGAAGTTTAAGAAGGAGTTTGGTAATTTTTATTTTTCTTTAGCTTGTTAATTTTGTAAGTAAGAATAAACTAAGTTAGGTTTTTTAGGCCTTTAATTCTTTTTGGTGGACCACACTTTGAATGTCTACCAAAATGCCCCACTTTGAATATATTACACATATTTATGTTTTACCATACTTATTACTTCGAAACAAAAAAGAATATTATGATTATACAGTTCTCGTGAACGTATTATGTGTAAACAAAAATCAAAGAATTTCTCAACCATTTTAAAATGGCATAATATTCTTAAAGGTATATGTATACTTTAAGAACACAGTTAAGTATTTTTACGTTTTCAACATTAAGAGTTCAAACACTGCAGAATATTAGTGTTTAAATGCAAAACAAATGATACAATTGATAACAGCTATTTGTTAACCTCGGAGGGGCAGAAAACAATATTCATACCTGACGGCCGAGGTATTTTACTCAAAGTTTTATCCGTTGGTAGCAGCTAGGTTATGCAACGAGTGTGGATGAAAGTTCTGGTTCTGAAAGAGAAACCGAGCAAAGGCCAAGCTAAAGTTCTTAAAATTAAACATTAACCTTGGGCGTCATTTGTAGGGGGGTCGTGTTGGATGGGGACATAAAAGAGTCCTTCATAGTGTAGCAATAATTTATTAACAAGTTACACGCGGACATCACATATAATTTTAAGAATGTTACTGCGCATCGAGTCTGATTTGAGTCCTAACAGGTTCATAATTGTGGCCTTTCTCTGGTTGAGAACTTACTCTGGTTACTCACCAGATGGGACCCTCGTTGCTAGAGTTAATCCAGCAGAATTTATATTAAAGGATTGGTTACGTTCTTCTATTTCTATATCGATTTTAATTTTTGTTAAACATTAAACAGATTTTAAAACACGTCGTTAATTCTTCAGTGCAAAGGAGAACGATGCCGACATATTTTTTCACCTAAGGGAAAGAATTAATTTCACTCTCCTATATATATTAAAAATTAGAGAACAAAAGATAACAGAAAAAAGTGATTTTTTTTAAATGAACGTAAATGCATTTCAACTATTCTGCGAAGTTAAAAAAAATTGTAATCCCCTGAACAATTAAAAAAATAATAACTTGCTTGAACTAAAAACGAACGAATTGGGGAGGATACTTTTTGTCAAATAACTGCTTCAACACCTCTGTAAAATCAAGCTATATATATATGTTGTTAACTCTAATTCGAACTCTTCATATTCTACACAGTATATCAAGACGCTTACAGATATATATAGCATATGTTATAGCATAAACAAAATCAATACACAAATGTACAGTCCAGTGATATTGGCCACATAATCACATAGTTAAACTCGAATAATTTGAATATCGAGGCCGTCTTGTTCTAAATTATAAAACTTATAAAAAGTGGACAATTCTTTAGTTAGTCTTAGTATTTACTAAGTAAAACTATTCTTATTGTTTTTATGAAATTGATAAAGTTTTCTTTAATAGTTACGAATTTTTTAAAAATTTATACAAGTATCTGATATTACTGATCGTTACATTGACACAAACAGAGCATGATTTTCATGCAAAAACCATTTGACGTTCCTAAATATACATACCCTAGGATTTTTCTATCGCGATTCATATTATTTTTAGTGCAATGAATTTTTGCAGTCTTCTTCTTTCTTTACCTTCAATACAGAACAGCAAATAATTCCTTTTAATAAGTTAAGTTAAATTTATAACTTTTATTTTTAAGAGATGTTCCTGATAATGAAATTTCTTCTTAGCAACTGTTAAATAATACGTTCTGTGCTCCTGGTTTTCTCATTAATGTTTTCGTTCCCACAGGTGGCCACATTGACAACTTGTGTTTTAAGGTCAAGATATTTAACATTTTTAGGACTTTTTCCATATGTAATTTGAATATTAAAAATTTCTTTTGATACAGTCTCCGCGAAAGTACCCCTTTTAAAGCAGGTAGCCTATGTTCTTTACCTTAAATGATTAAATAACGAGTTAGTTGTTAATATTATCAGACCTTTTATCAGTAAAATGTGTATTTATTGCAAGAAAGGTTATTTGAATTTAAACAGAACTTTAAGTCAGCTAACTCCAGTTTAATGATGTCCAATACATTGGCTGTCAAGTAATATTTTTATAGGCTTTCCTTTTTCCCGTTTTTTTTTTATATTTAAAAATGCATTAATCTCTCAAGGAGATATAACCAACGTATCAGAAAGGGAAAAATCAATGCAATAACATTCTTTTCTCTAAATTAATAAATTAATGATTACTTGCAAAAATTATATGTATCGTAAAAGCTTATTTTTGTGTTCGTTTACAAATGGTTTTGAGGAAAATCATTTATGTGTCATTTATGAAAACTAATGTTTTGTCAGAAACATATGGACCATTCCAGTAAAACCAAACCAATTCTTTTCGTTGATCTTATGTTGTCATCTCAGTTTTCTCGTTTTCATGGTATCTAATGACTTTTTCATTTCCCTGTGTAAGGATTCTGAAATGTAGAGGAATTTATAAGTTTCTTGAACCTTATGATTCTTCTTGGGCTTAAAAAGAAGGAATTTGTTGAGAAGACATTCGTGAAGTAGAAAGAGCAAACATTTTAACATTTAATAGCAATAAAGGCTTGTTATAAAACTAGAACAGGATTACATTTGTCACCATTAAAAATACTGTTTACTTATTGGATTAAAAATTATGCGAAGGTTTTTTGCATGAGAGTGCAAGAAGTTAATAAAATTTTTATTGAGATAAATTGTAGTTATTTCATGAAAACGTAATCCTTCAAGTTGGTATAGACAGTGCTATACAACTTTTGTAAGATACACGTACACAGAATATAACTAATTTCTTTAATGATGAAATCAGTGATGATGACATCATAAACGGGCAATTATAGACAAGAGCATTTCCGGTACGCAATATATTGCCAGATATGTAAGATGAGAAGTGTATGTATTCCAATCCTCACTTTTCAGAAAAAGGAAATAATTCCACATATCTAATTGCTAAGGATTTCCGCCTATTCGTGAATCAAAGATGTATGGCAAGTATGAACTAAGCTTGATAAATCATAAGGCGATGATAATGCCAGGAATTTTCACGGGGTAGGTACAAAGTAATCTAAAAGGAAGAAAACATTTTTAAGCAGTGTGTTACAGAGAATTTGCAATGCGAAGTTATGCATTGAGCGCAAAATTATATAAAATTACAGTTTCATATTTTTAAAAAAATTATTACGCACATTTTAATCACAGTTATGGCCACCAGACAGCGAATGATCTGTAACAGAAAGAGTAAAATCAGAACTGAATGCAATAACTTAATTTACAGAGTTGAAACAATCTATAACTTGCTTATGCAGTTTAAATCTGAACTTACTAATGCCGTTTAGATAATTTTTCTTTACGAGTTATCATATCTTCATGAATTGATCAAAAGATCGAAAAACTCTTGTTATTTATTCCTAGGCAAATTTCAATAAGTTAATAAAATTTTATGAAGTGGCCTTTATGAAGTATTGATAAAATGTAGAATATTGTATTGAATTGTCCTCGCATTTCTAGTTTCTGATACATTTCTGACATTATTTCGGGTACAATACCGTCTGCTAGATAGACCTCTAGCTAAGTATTGTGCATTTCAAAATTCTTTAAAAATAATAATAAATAAACACTTCCGTAGTTTTAGGCATATTTTTGGTAATCACGTTGTTAAACATTTCAACAGCATGGAAATATGAATTATTTAAAATTTATACTATGTTTCATCACATGTATTTTCCAGCATGAATAAAGAAATATATATGAATTTTCAGTTGCATTTCTTTGGAAACTTTGTACATTAGTCTATCAAATATAGAAATTTTATTTTATCTCCATTTATCACAGAGTTAATAAATTCTGCGTACATAAGCTCATAACAAATGCAGTGAAGTCATTGACAGTGAAGTTAATGAATAGGTATCAGGAATACTTCCAGAGATGGACTTAGGTACGATATTTTAATTTTAGACATTATTAAAAGAAATTATCTTACAATCTGAACTTACCACAATTTAGGATTAAATATTCTCCTCCAGGCTTAAAAACTCAAAAAATCACCTAAAGTTAACCCAGCTTGTTAAGAAATATTTGCGATGCAACGAGGTTGACTGCCGCACATATTCTGGAGTGTAAAGTTTCCACATTAGTCACGGATGTAGCGTACATCTGCTCTTTAACAAACTTCCGCTGAAAAATATTTGGCTAAATGAAGAAGACTGTAGAAGCTGGTCTGTGAGTGCTGCCGAATAAAAATCGAATCTGTTTAGCTACATTTCTATAAATATAAAGTTTATTAAAAAAAAAAAAAAGCGGAGAGTGAGAAATCCTAATGTTAACACTTGCAAAATCGTCTTCGTATTTAGTAATTTTTCGAAGTAAATATTGGTGGTGAAGGGTAAAAAAGTAACTGTATTTGATTTTGTTATTAAACATATTAAGAAAGAAAATTTTCGCGATTATAATCACCGTTCAGCTCGCCTGCTTTTCATGCGTCTTGAATAGCTGTGCAATGTTTAATGTGTGCAATGCCAAGGTGTGTCTAATGCGGAATATATACAATTATCTGATGTTTTAGTTTAAAAAACATCAGAAATTTGCCATTGCGCACATTAAATATTTTAGTTTATTTTTTCCACTATGTTATAGTTTAATGGGTCCAGCTTGTGTAATTTCATAGATTCAACTAATAATTAAAAATAATAGTGTTGAAGAAATGGGATTATTGCTTTTAAATCGCTTAGTTTGTTAATCAATAGCAAACAGATTAAATATCTTTAAATATAAATATCTTAAGTTTTGCCAATAGGCAACACATTGCTTTTAAATCGCCTTGATTGTTAATCAAAAATTCATTCAATTCTCACAGAGTTTGAAATAAATGAAATGCAAATTTGGTGTTGGTGTATTTAATTATGGCAAAGCACACTAGGACTATCTGCCTAAGGAAAGCAATGCCTTCGTGGAGGACTTTCTAAAGGAAACTGGCTCATATACACGTTATACATGGGGAAAACCATGAAAGCACCCATGCAGCCAGCCCGTTCGCGGGATTCGAACCTCGGACCGAACTACCAGTGTTCAGCGACTTTTACCGCTTTTTTTTAGGCCGTTGGTGGGCCGAAATCCAAATTTGAATTTCAAAATTCGGGATTGGAGGTGCACATGCTCGGGTAGAGAACTATATGTATGGAAAATTTGGTAGCTCAAAAAGGTGCCGCTATTTTTTCACAATGCGAAGAATACAGATACCTATAGATTCTTCATTATTTAATAATAGACATGACACTTTACGTATGGTTAGGATTGCCGCCATCCAGTAAGATATTTCAGGCCATGGTTTTTATTTGGCGCCTCGTTAACAAAAAAGTACTGAAAAGTCTATTGATCCAGAGATTTTGAAATTTGTGCAAGGTAATTGTATAAATAAATCGCATAAAAGAAGACGAAGCTTCAAAAACTATTCCCAGCATGCGGGATTAGAACTAGAAATTCAGATTTTAGCATCAGGCCTACAAAAGCTGCTTGCCCAGTTTAGCCCCTCAAGCGGGGAAGGTACTTTAACCAAAATTCAGCTAATTATAAAGTTAGTTCAAATGAAGCAAACTTATCATGCAAATATTGAATTTTTCTTGTTTAGCACAAGTAGAATAAGCTTAATACATGTCTATGTATAAAACGAATTATATTCCTGCGTGTTATTATTAAATATAATTAACTGTTAGTGATATCAAATGCTTATAGTTATTTGACACATTTTTAATTAAGAGGAATTTTGTTCATACAACTATTTTATATTTGATCTTAATTTAGTCTTCAGAATAGATAATTTATTTGGCATAAATCCAATAATAATGTATTTGAGATGACTTCTAAAATAATTGCATATTTTTTTTTACTTTGTACTTGGTTTAGGACATTTTTGTCATTACCTTTGAGCTTTTTCAGAAGCTTCTCCACATATTTCCTAGCTGACGTACATATTGCGAATAAATAATGTTTGAGCATTTCAGACCACGTAATAAATTATTAAAGTGCATTCGTAATATATACAAGCTCATTTTAAACATTTTCATTTATAAGCCCTTTTTTATCACCATAGTATTTTCGCGACCCCAGATATTAAAAATAAAAAAATATAAAAATAAATATTTTCCCATAAACAATTTATTTCTTTGCTAAATATATATATGAAAAGTAGTTTTTGGATTTCTTTCAGGTATACAAAAATTAATGAAAGAAAATAATACTATAATGAGACGGAAGTGCTGCTTTTTCACTGCATAACAAATTAAATCTCGGCACAATATTTGACGTTTCAGCATTGAAAGATATTTGGGTTTAATAAAAGTTAAAGCTGAAAAATTCGTTTCCTATGTCTGGTGCTAAATGATAGAACATTTAATGTCATTTCCAAAATTGTGAGAAATTCAATTCCACTTCCGATCCAGGATTCAGCGAATGATTTTTGTAGAAGCTCAAATTTAAGTTTCAATCACTCGATTGTTGAAAGAATTCCTCTTTGGGCTTTATACAGATTGTGATTAATCTCATTGATATCAATCAATATAGATTTTGAATCTAAGACAGCGTTTTGAAATGAATATCTGACATTAAATATCTGCAAGACCGCGTTTCCGTGGTTTATAAGTGATCTGTAACAATTTTTTAATCTTTTTTCAACTATAAAATTGTCTATAGTCGGACAGATTTTGAATTAATCATTTGATGATCAATCATCTCCAATGGCGTATGACGTATTTTTAGCAATCAGATATGAAACTTCGTATGAAGCGAATAAATATTTTTTGCTAGTACTCATACATTTCTCAAAATATTGTTTTTATTTATTTGGAGATTTTTTAATTGTCGTTTGAAATACTTATTTGATTTACTGACGTAAAAAAGATGCTTGGATTCAAAATTTTTTTTTTTTTTTAATTTTATGGTTTCATACTTTCTATTGCCAAACCTTTACTGCAAATTAAACAAAGCGATTGTTCATTATCAGCCGTTATTACTTTCAATAGTTGAATATTAAACCAAACTGAAGAAATGTCTCATCCATATATCCGTTTTCACATTTTAGTTCCTCCTTCTTAGTACGAAATCCTGTTTGAAGGGAATTTGTAGCACGGACATGTCACTACCTTTGTTACTCAAGTTCAAACATTACTCCACATGTAAAACAATATTTTATCTTAAAATATAAATAAAATAACATCTCTCATATAAATTATTGATATAAATACTAAACTTGTTGAATAAAATGGTAAAATACAATACTGCATTATTCTTGAGACAATTGTGATGAAACAGAACAACTGAACTATGTTGAAAAAACGTTATCACTACATTAGTCGCAGCAGCCCTGACTTATTCTCGTCATGCTTGTGTGATGTAGAGTATTATGTAAGATGCCTTTGCGACAAACGTTGATTCTAAAAAACTTATATACTGAAAAATGTAATGCAGGCACTGTTATGATGCACTTAGTGATATTATTCAATATGTAAATAAAATTTACAACTCAACTTGGCGATAACAAATTACGATTTTATAATTATGGCGTGCAGAAAATGTAATATACTGAATTTTAAATATAATGAAGGGACTACGAATAAAGTTTTTTTAAAAAAAATTCATGTATCTGAATTAAATATTCGCGACCCCAATATTTTGATTTGCGATCCATTAGGGGTTGCGACCCACAGCTTAAGAAGTGCTGATACAGAGTGACTTAAAATATTTAACACACTTGCTTATAACACTTTGTTTCCGCTAACATTAATTACACTAAAGATAAGAATTTTGTTAATTTTAGTTCTGAAAACAATACCTTAAGTATATGCGTTTTATATGATAATATGTAAATAACTCGTCTAAAATTTTATAATTTAAGGTTTAATAATCTGTTAAGACTTCTTGTCTTTATAGATATAAAAGGAAAATAAGTTTACTGTGTAAAATCATTACGTTTTTCTCAAAGCAGGAAACATAGAAAATCAGAAATTTCTTCGCTGGCATTCGAGCTCTGCATTTCCTTATTGGCAGATGGCCGTACTTCCAATTATACTGCGAAGACACGCAGTAAAAGGATGGAGGAGATACCCTACCTATCATCTAGACTTTAAGAAGGAAGAAGGAAGGGACCCAGTCTCCAAATCCTGGTGGTGATGAAGTATTGCCCACCACGTCTGAGTCCGAGCGCTACTTGTAGTTCTTTAGTTTATTTCCGAGTATGAAATGTGAAAAATCGGAAATGTCCGGGCCGGGCACGGAAAGAAAATATAGTTTCCAACTAGGACAAAAGAGGGATAATGCATTTAGCGTCATATTTTAAGGTAGTGTGAAAAATGACCTGTCTCCAAAGTCTTGATATTGCAATTAACAAGGCATTCGAAGACAATAAATTCCCACATGAAAATCTGTGACTGCACTGAAACTAGAATATAGAAAAATTAACGCGGAAACTTTGAAGCCTGTAAGAGAGAGAAACATTACTGCAAGAGGTCTTGACCTGCCTGAAGAATTTATTGGATAGAATTGCTGACAGTTGTCTTGCCAATTTAATAAGAGCAGTCTATAAGGACCAGAAATGTTCATTTAAGGATAGCTATTACTAGACATGAAATTTTATGGCCACTTAGTCCGTAGGAAATGCAGTCATCAGCAGTTTACGGGCCTGGTTAGCTTAGGGGTCTGAACGTTATATGACGGTGCTATGGTAGAACATGACTGTACATGAATATATGTATGTACACTTCATTCTAAATAAATAAATGAATGCATGTCGATCCTAAAATATATGAATACTGTAGATTGCTGTAAAAGAATAAATGCTATTTTCTTTGCGCAAAAAAGGTAGTATACGTTGAAAATAAACAATAATGTGTGTTTTAGGGCAAAACTTAATTTAAGACCGGTGTTATTTTAGGGGAAAAACAGTATATAACAAGCAAATAACCAACACAGGAATTAGCCTTGTTGCCTGTTTCCCAAAAATGTACCTAAAAGGGCAAGGGAAAAAATTAAGTTTTATTGAATAATTGATATCTGCATAGAATCT